TTTATAAATCATCAAGCATTCATGAGGGAGGGGAGCGGGGATGGAGGGGAAAAATGAGGGGCTCAAGTAGAAAGCAAATGTTTTGAGACTGATGATGACAACAAATGTACAAATGTGCTTGACACAATGATGTATGTATGGATTGCTAAGAATTGTATAAGCCCCCAATAAAATGATTTTTTAAATAAAAAAATATGAATCTCTGCTCACCATTATTCGGTAATTACATTATTTCTGCAATTTTAAAAGTCAATTTACTCACCTTCTGTGCAAAAGCAACACATACAATGCAGGCCCAAAGGAGGAGCTTCATTTTGATTGACCCTATGAATATTAATAATATAAAACTGATGGTTTTAAAAAATGTACACTCTGATTTTAAGTTCTTTCTCTTCTAGAGAGGGACAAAGAATTTTATGAGTATATCATTCTAGACTTGGATGATAATAAACTGATTGTTTGCTCCTTCTATTTAATTTGTTAGTATGAGTTAACCAGAATGGCACCAAAATCCAAACTACATTTTGACAGATAGACTTCAACAGTTGGCTTGTGAGTAAACTCTCCATAGTTGTAAATCAATTAATTTAATTGTGTAGGGGTGCATTTTGCAACTAATTTATCCTGGAGTACTTACCAGAAAATAAAAGTACTTAAAAGCAGCCATACTATGAATGCTTTATTGAGATTGTCTTTCTGTGACTTCAGTGAGACATTGGCATCATTTACTTGGAAAAAATTTCCAGGCCTAATGTTTTTGTCAGCATGGCCTGTGTCATAAACCTTAGACCATCAGTAAGCAGTGCTTCTTCCATCTCTGTAAAGTAGTGAGGCAGTCTATGGTCAGCTGTGTCTATAATAGGGTGCTAAATTTCCTTTAGAGAATGTACAATCAATCTCTAGTTGGTTGATTATTAAAATTCATAACCTTTACATTCAAACAAAAATAACTCTGTACTTTAAAAAATGTATATCATATAAGGATGTTCGTTCTAGCATTGTTTTACAAACTCAAATGTAAAATACCTAAATGCTCAACAACAGATGATTTCTCAAGCAGTTAATGGTATAAACAAGCAACAATATGCTATTCAGTCAGTGAAATATAGTTTAAACATTTAAACTATAAATTTAAACATTTAAACATTTAAAATATAGTTTAAACATTTATTTATTGACATAAAATCAAATAATATTACCAGTCGATGAATTAATATTTATATGTTACTTTAGCATTTTATGAATAATTTCTAATTGGATGATTACTGATTATTTAGATAATTATTTAGATAATCCATAGTCTTGTAAAACATGCTGTGTGCATTTTAATGATGTGTTTTGAAATAGTATCTCAAGATTTTTTTTATAAAAGGCTTTAAATACTTTCCTCTTTCATTCTTTTAAAAATTAGGAATGAGAAGTATTTAAGGAAGAAACTGTACATTATATAAATCATCCATCTCTCCAAACAGTGCTTTTCTCATGCATTGATGCTTGCCTCCTATAAATGCTTGTGACTCTCGACTGAATGACCTTCACTCTAATGATTTTATTTTTACAATGGGGTCTTTAGAAAGGAAAGTTAATGAAAACACTGATGTAATTCTATCGTTTTATCTTGCAGGGATAGCAAAGAAAAACCTTCTACTGCCATCCAGTTGCTTCTGAGTCATGGCGGCCCCATGCATGTCCGAATAAAACTACCCATCGCAGTGTCCTGGCTGGGATGTTCGTGCAGGCAGAGCGCCGGGCCTCGCTTCCATGGGGCATCTGCACAGATTGGAACTAAGAACCTTCAGGTTTGTAATAAGTGTAAATTGTCTGCCTGCCCATATGTACTATATCAAACTATGTAAATAGTCTACATAAAGTATATTATCTATCATATATATATATCTTTATATAGTATAGCCTCTATATCGACTTATAAACAGAGCTCTACTTTGATCTGTTTTCAAGGGAGCTTTCCTCCTTCAATTGGCATAATTCAATAGCGTAATTTAATGTCTTAAAGATACTCCAAAACACAGGTTATGTTTCTCTCTTGGTTTTGCCTTTTTATTGTTTGGAATTCTGGTCTTGGAATCAAATACTTGTCCCTATTTAGAACTCTACAAGCCATTATGATAACCTATTTGGAGTTGCTTGCTTCATCTCTGGCTTTATCTGATGTACTTCATCAAAATATCCACAGTTTTTCAAAATACTGTTTCTATATTTTTGTGAGCTACATCACATACTTTTAGAATGCACATTATAAATGATCAGAAAAACAATGAATTAAATGAACATTTCTGAAATATATCATGATACCAAAATTTTCCTCTGGTAAATTATAACCTTAAAAAATATTACTGAAGCAAAAATATCATGAATCAAATGTAATGATTAGTCAAGTATGTATTTGATGGATTATTATATTTTATCTTTCAAGATATTATAATTACTTATAAATTAGTCTATTACAATATATTCTAACTACTTTTAAAATGAGAGTACTTGTGACCTGAATATTAATAATAAGTTAACAAATACTAATTTCCTTTCTAAAATCATATAAAGAGTGTAAAAATATTATTTAATCTCACCAAAATAATTTGCAGTCAATGAAAGCTAATAGGTTTATAGTTTTAGAATACTTAAAAAAACATTTCTGGACTAGAGGAAAAGCAGATTTAGCAATATTCTAAAACTATTTACTACTCCGTCGCTGTCTCTCATTTTACTTACCTATTCATATATCAAAACCTCACATAGAAAAAGGTTGGAGAACACCAAGGAGGTTTATAACGACTACATACACATGTGTACTCTCTCTCTCTCTCATACACACACACACACACACACACACACACACACACACACACACTCCTAACATAGTAAAGATGATGGTGACCAAAGACAAAAAGAGGATGAGAAGGAAAAAATAACTGGAGAAGGATCTGAGTGAGTATTAGAGTTAATTTCTTTCTTTTCAGAGAGCATGCAAGCAAGATGTAGAAAGAGAAGGAGGAGGAGAAAAGGATGAAGAAGAAGAAAAGTGAGATATTTAAACAAATGAAAATAAAACACTGTCAACCCAGCAGTCTAAGGACAGAGGGAAAAATCCTCCAAAAGCAAAAGCAAGTACATACCAGCTTCCTCCTGAAGTACAATCCTGTTAAACTCTTGGAGACCACACTTTAAAAGAAATGAAAAGGTGAAGAAATGAGTGCTTATGGAACTATACGGTCCCTTGAGACAAGTGGATAGATTCATAAGCACAAACTGCTTTTGTAGCATTATACAACTAGTTCTACAGCACTGAATAGTGTGTGCTCTGTTCAATTCACAGCACAAAGTTACACTGAAAACACATTTGAAGAACTAGCATGTGGTTGTGGAGTGTTCAGCAATATTAGGAATCGGGTTGTGTGTTGTAGATGAAACAGATGAGGGTGCATTGCCTGGACTTAAAAATAATACAGAAGCGTATGAGGTAACAAATGTTGCTAGTATTCAGGGTGACGTGTGCTCATTATCTAACAGAACATCCAAGTTATTCGACAAAGTAATTACAAATCCTCAACTTTGAGGCCAAGAATATTCAGGGACAGCTAGTATTTTTCTAATGACATTCAGAAATCGCAAAAATATTGGCATATTATTTACAAATTCTTTACTATAGAGCTATTCCATAAAAGTAGCTGACTGCAAAAGCAAGATAGGTTTCATGGCAGAGCTGAGATTTGTCCTGACAATATCACACACCTTTCATCACAAGGAGAAATCTCCCCTGAAAAATGCAACTTAAAATATAATTAAAATGAATTAAACCATTGCTTTCAAAACAATGACAAATGTATTCTTCGAAATGGAAGGAATTCATTATTGACTAACCTGCCATACAAGTATTTAAGGAAAGCTCTGCCCTATGGGATAGTCGATGGTTAGCAGTTCAAAGCCACCTGCCACTACTTTCAGGAGAAAGAAAGCTTTCTACTCCTATGAAGAGTTAGTCTCAAAAACCCATAAGGGCAGTTCTTAGTGAAATAGGTGAGGCACAAAATTAACAAATAGAGTATGATCCCATTTACGGTATATGAACTATCTAGACTAGGCAAATACAGAAACTAAAATTTATTTACAGTTAACAGGCATAGGCAAAAGAAGGATTTGTGAAATCTTGATTTTCAGTTAAAACTCAAGCTCTCTCCCACAGACTTGAGTGCAGACTAGAATCCTCCGTTGGGTGAGACTGCATTTTTAGAAGAGCAGACACAACACGGTGTCTTTCTAATGAGTCAGCAGCTGCAGATCTCCAGGGTAGCAGCTCAGTGTGAAGCCTGTGTTAGCAGGGCTCCAGTGGGGCTGGTTTGGAAACAGATCATGGTCTTGGCTGCACAACAGGGAGAACATAAAGTCACGAAAATGGGTGTCAGTGGCACAGATTTTGGGATACATATTTTCACTAAAATATAATGATGACAAAGCAATCTAGAGGAAATGTAATTATGAATTTAAAGGCCTTTTTTCTGAAAATGAAGCATGAGAATACGAATTTAAATTTAGTAATCCCCTACTGAGTACCAGCAGACTAAAATTTACACATTACTAAGACCATTATTTTGTGAATCATGAAGATAAAGTGCGTGGATTATATGACAGTTGGAAATAAACTGTATAAGAACAAAAGTAGCGTTCTTTTATTATGTACAATCTCATACTTTAGGAACAATAGATGATTGTAAAAGCTGATGAACCAAAACGATCCTATTTAGTAGTAATGGAAACAGGATATCATTCACTATGACTAACTGCCATGCCCCCGAGTGTGTCCAAATGTTTAATTCCCAAGATACTCAACAAAAATATCCTATGACGTATGTTGTCTGACGTATTTTATCTGTTAGCTGAGTTTTATAACGCATTTTCCTGTTCTCATGTTTTTTTCAAATACCTCCAATTACAGGAAGAATCTTTAGCCATCCACCCATATCAATGAGAAAAACTTGCACTTCAAGAGTCCTTGTCAAATCCTCTTAAGTTTATTTACTTATTACACAAAGCAGGCATGATAAATACTATCATCTCTACTGTAAAACATTATATCTAAAAATTATGGAATGACTTGGAAATTCATTTGTGGATCAGATTATGTTTGGAGTACCAAGGATTCAAGTGAAATGATCTTACTGGGTTTCCGAATTGCTTTGTCTTTGATTGCAGAAACTAGCGAACAGAAATACCCAAGGGAAAACTGGGTAAGTCAATTCAAATTGGAGTATAGGCTTGGGGTGGGCAGAAGAAATTTAGAGTTGGATATAGGTTATA